ATCATTGCAAAGTTTGCGTATATAAGTATTTAACGATAGTTTATAGATTAGAATCGAATTGGTACTGTTATTAGGTCATGCAATTATGAAAATTACTTAACTGGACTAATTAGACTTGACTGATTTTGATTCACTTGCCTCCGATAACTTGCCGGATTCTTAGATTCGTTTTTGGTACTTGCGCTTGTATCGTTTACACTGCTTAGGAGGATTCTCGTTAACGACCGCAGCCCAACCTATCAACTCAAGTGTTAGGACGAGACTGACCTAATGGTAATATCAAATTTAATAATAATAATAATAATAACAATAACAATAGCATTTTATAAACCTTACCCAAGTAATTTCAATATTATAATACTCCTTAATACCGAGATGATACACTGAGCTCCATAAACAACAAAATACATGTAAGTCAAATAAAAAGTCATACAAAGTCATACAAAAGGAAACAACAAAACAAAGGCCAGTGTAACTCAAAATATTAAAATTTAAGATAAATGCAATTCAGTGTATATGATGAACGCGACAACATAAAGCTTGAGATTGGAACTCATTGTATGCGCGATCCAAAGATACCAAACCCAAACAATGAAAAATAATACAATAAAACTTATAACCAAAAATCACTTGCCATTTACACACATTAAAATGATAAGGACACAATAAACCAGCAATGACAAACGACACAGACCAATATGCGAATCAAATAATTATGTCAAAATTATAAGCAAAAATACACTAAGAAAACCCAAAACAGGTAGGTAGTTGTTTATCATCACTAGCGCAAATTACAGTTTATAAAAGTGTTCATACCCAATTATAGCAGAAAATCGGCAACAATCACAAAAACCATAGCCACATTACAACATACAGTGCTTGCAAATCCACGTCCGACCGGTTTGAGAAGGACGCGTGAAAATAACAAGGATAGAACGCCAAACAGAAGGCGCTTACAATACGCACGCCTGACGCTCTGACCAATCAAATTCTGTTTGGCATTCTATCCTTATTCTTTTCACGCGGGTATTGAACAGCCGTCCTTTCCAGTGCGGTCGGACTTTGATTTGCAAGCACTGTATATCTCACAAACTTTTTAAGATGCGTATAGGATGACGGTCTATATTTTTCTGGCATTTTTATAGTTATATACTTATAAGCAAAAATATTATACTCTCAAGGTAGTTGTCGTGCTGTAAGCATACCATCAGAAAATTTTAAATTTTTGTATACTTATTAAGAACATTACAATACAATTATACTTAAAATTTGAAGTCGATTGACCGTATATAACCCGAGATAAATTCAATTAAAAATTGGATAATTAACATGGATTGTATACGCTTTCTGTAGTTCTGTACCAGTTTCTTAGCTATAAAAAAAAACTAACTGTCAGAAGCTTTCAAAAAACTAACAGTCTTTTAATATATTTTTGCTGAGTTTAAAAAAAAATAATTAAAAAATTTTGACCGTCCAATTGTTTATAAATAACCGTTTAAAGTTCAACAATTTGTAAAAAGTATACATCACTAGTGTCAGATAAAAACAACTTGGCAACGCTGTACGCGAGTATATTTATTATTTCCGCAGTAAATTTAAACAAACTGATTCAGTCTCCAATATATCTATTGGTTGAGCATAAGCGACGTTGCCGGATTAAAACTTATGAAAATATTTGAAAGTATTACGTAAAGGTAACGTCTCCAGGGTACAGTTTGGCGAAAAAATTATGAATCACTTAGCTACAAGCTCGTATACTTTTACGGTGCGTATAATCTAAAAATGTTTGGCAATATTGTACCACGACAACTACCTTAATTCAAATCAAATATAAGTTTACTTGTGTTTATTTAAATTAAATCTATTATGTTTTGTTGAAAACTTATTTTTTAAATAAATATATTTAAATACAAGAAAATTTAATTTAAGTAATTATTCTTAATAGATAAACTAAACTAATTTTTTTTATAAAATTAAACAAAATTATTATTTAAGTAATATCCCATATTATAAAAATTAGACTATACTAATTTAAAATATACAAATCCAAAACAATCGTTATTTTAAAATTAAAGAATTATTTTTTGTGTGCAGTTCTGTTTGTTTTCAATAAATTAATTAGTAAATACATTTTGTTTATTTTGATAAAATATGTACTCATGCATTGTCCACTGCTTTAGTAAAAAATACTCCTTAAAAGCAATATTAATCCATTACTTTGGTTGCAAAGCAATGTAATACGATATGCGCACGTTGATCAAATCAGCCTCCTGACGTCACAGTTTCGATGCAGGAGTGGGGGCTAAACTCTCGCCTGGTATAGAGAACGCCGTGCTTGAGCATATAATTAAATCTGATGCTAGTGCATAAAAGTCGACTTTTAAGAGAAAATATACACATTTTTAAGAGAATTACTTAATTAGATACATTAATTATACGTTTTTAGGAAGTCATACAGCGTTGCCAAATTGGTAAAAACTTAAATCAATAATCAAATTAAAACGACGATTTAATTTGATCATACTTTAATAAAAGTTTCTGCATACGGCGATTAATGTCGAGTTTACTATGCACCTGCACTAATATAACTATTATTTTTAAGAAGTTAGATTTATAATGACTTTGTTAAATTAAGAACCCATCTATTATTTAGTTATATAATAAAAAAACTTTTGTTTTAATTTTTTTTAAAAAGTGTCACTTTAAAAAAATCAAATTTTCTAAAGAAGTGAGAATAACAGAATGGCCCTATAGGCACTAATAGGGAAACGCGTACACTTTTAGTGTGCTTCAAAACCAGTTTGCCACGGATTTCATTGTTTTTATTTCATAATTCGTGGTGCGTTCCTGCGTTTAGCGATTTTACAAAGGCTTTTATTATTATTTCTCTTTTGCTTTATTATTACTATAATTATTGGGGCATTCCATGTCAAATCGACCAATAGTTGGAATCGACCCCTTTCGATTTGGACGAATTTTGGTCAGAAGTTTTCTTTTATGATATCGAAGTCCTGCCAAAGGAAAAAATTATTTTTTTTTTAAGTTATGCAAATTTCAAAATTTACTATTTTTTTAAATCTTTTAACTTTATATTTCAAATATCTCGAAAACTCTTAAAGATACAGAAACAAATTTTTACTTGGTTTAACAGGGACAATTGGGGCTATTGAAAAAAAATATTTTGGAAAAAAATTTTGAAAAATAAGTTTTTTTTCAAATTTTTAATTTTTAACAATCGTCAAAAATGACGATCGACATTAAATTTTTTGATAAAATTATTTTGTATAATACCTTGTACTTATCTAAAAAGATCCTGAAATGTTTAGAACTGCGTTGATGTGAAATTTTGAATTTTATTAATTTTTTTTTGCTAAGGGTATTTCCGGAAAACCTTACCCCACCTTGGCAAAAAATCAGATGTGGTATTTAACAAAACAAAAACTATATCTGAAGTCAAATAGTTTAATTGCGACGTAATTTATAACCTTAAAATATTCGTACAATGTAGTGCTAAGATGCTAACTTTAAGAATAAATGCGGAAGAGTTTCAATACTCGATAAAAAGTTTAAATGTCGCACCTGTTTTATTTTGAGAAAATTTTAGAAAATTAAGTATACTATATTTGTGCATTTAAAATACGTGCTTGTTTGAGGTTACTATTCAAGTTTTACACAAAAAATTATTACTATATGCTTTCAACCGAAATTTTACAGGATCAACTTAGTCGAATTTGCCGATATTCTAATGTCGCGCCCGTTATGTGATTCATGACGTTATAAAATGTTTTATATACAAGTTTTAAATGAAATTTAAGTTAAATATTTAAATTTTTATACTATTTTTGTATATTATCGTACCTTGATATATCTGAACAAAGACAACAATGGAAATACCCTTAAGTAAAGTTAAGCAATCATGTAATTTTGTAATTTTCACCAGAAGAAATTTCACATATCGACATAATAATGAGAAAAAAGACCATTATTGTCGTTTGCATTCTTATTTATTTGATAAAGCGTTTCAATCGTAAGCCTAATTTACATTTGGTTACGTTAGTCTTTTTTTGAATCCTGTTTGTGCTGCTGTTGCTTCATTTCTTCTCCTCAATCTGAAAGAAAGTGAGATTACTTATATTAGTATTTAAATTCAAATGTCTCCTCTATCTATCAAAGAAGTTTTAGCTATAATATTGCACTTTTATATAACTTGTTACCTAACAATTTGAAACTATGCTCAATTTTACTGTTTAAACCCAAATTAAAACAATTTACAAACAATTTTTAACAACTTTTTTAATTTATGTTAATCGTTAAAATTCCTTTTATTCTATATCTGCCTATTTGAGTTTTCTTTAATATGTACTCGGTTAAATGTTGGTTATGTTTTCTTTTATTATACTTTAATATTCATATTAGCCTATTAATGTTGGATATGTATTTTTTTTTTTTTAAATTTATAAAAATTTATTACATAAGTACTAGAATTAGCACATTATTTATCTATTATAAGCTAGGTTAAGTGGAAGAACAACAGCCCTTTGGCAATGTGTTGAACTTCGCTTTTTGTTAAACAAATTTAACAATAAAGCTATTTATTATTATTAATAAATGAAAAGTGATTTTTCAAAAGGCCTTATTTTCATTTTTACTTGAATGTAATTTTTTGACAAAATCCCAAAGGTATGGTTAAAAGGCATATATTAACGGCGAAATATGACAGCAGGTCTAAAGTATTATTAAATATTCATCAGAATTTTTTTTTAAATCTATATTGCCCTAACCTATACGGGTTATAGTCATTTTTTTGAAAAATTGTTGCAAATGGAAATACGAACTTTTAAAAAATCACTCCTCAAATGTAATGTTTATAAAATTCTAACACTGAAAATTTAATTTTTCTTACCTGGTTCTAATGTGTGGTTCTGCGACAAACTCTTAGATATCCGTATTTTTTAGTCGGAAATCCTTTCCTTCCTTAGATGATAAGGTTTTTATTCTTATCACATCACTCGAAATAGGAACGGCGGCATGACAACTTCGGATTCCTTGTATTGGTAGAGCATTTTTAAACCTTCTGTTAAGTTCCTTCTCAGTACGCTGAATCTGCTTATCGAAACGAAGTGATTCACTGGACATTTTGTTTGCCCACTTAAACACTGTTTAATAAACAGCTCATCGGGGTTCTGAATTTTTTCTCCACTTTTTGATTGGAGATTGGCTCTATCAGCCAATCGCTTTAATGTTCCGCCTAAACCATCGCTTGGAGCTTTTCCATGAGTTGCATAATAATGCCATTCTGCTGTTATTTGAAAATCTTCTTCATGATGTAGCAAGTTTAGCAAATTGTAGCGATTTTTATATTGAGATGCTGAACCATCGGAAAAATACATTATTTTAGAAATGTTTGGAATTTTATTTTTAAGAAATTATGTCAGTACTTCTTGAAAACTGTAAAGTGGTGTTGTGTTGTTTGTCAAGTTGTCTGAAATTATTACCAAATTTAGAGTTACTTTATTATCACCATTCTCATCAATGGATCTATAATAGCAAGCGAATGGATGTATTGTCGCTTGTCTATTATTCCAATAAGCTCCTTGGACTATTTTGGAGTAAAAACGAGTAAAACGAGTAATTTTCCGAGAAGTCAGCTACAACAAGTACTTGCCCAATTTCGAGATTTTATTTGTAGTTTGGAAATATTCAGCTTGTTGACGAGCAATAAAGTCATGAAGAAGCAATTTTGGAATAGATTTTATTAAATGATCAACAAAGTCATCTGTTGATTTTACAACCGTCTCCAAAGAACATCGATCTACTTGAGTCCTTTGTTTATATGTGACTTCATCTAAAAAGTTATCGAGGAAAAGACTTTCAATTGTACTTCTTAATTTTGTCGAGCCAGGACAGTTACTGCATGTTCCCAAATAGCAGTCGTTCGTGGGTTTTAGACAAATAATAATTTTTAAGCAATCTCGATATGAAGAAAACGGTTGACATTCATCTTTAAGTTTCAGTTTTTCTAGTTTCGCACCAAGAAATAAAAGTTTAAAATTTTCATGAAAGAGACAAACATAAACTACGTGAGTGCCAGATGCAGATGCAAGAACACATTCGGGTGGTCGTAGACTAGCAAATTTTGAAAAACTAACTTTTTCGAATAGGTATTTTTGCTTAAAGAACTAATAAATTTCATTCAAATTACCTAAAATTAGCCGTATTTAGCCAGATTTATATTCTTTTTACCAGGTAACTCTCTACTGACATCTTGATTTCGATAAAATTGTTGAATTTTGACTTTGGTACTTTTTAATATTGGATGAGCTTTGTTTTTTAGTGGATTGAATAGAATACCGGCTTTATTTACATTATGTTTTACTTTTTTCACGATATATGTAGATGCGTCAAAAATATTAACAATTTTTTCTGTCGACCAACTTGAAGGTTACACAGATAAAATCTGTATGTTTTCACTCATATTGCTGCTATTATCATATTTTTCTTTTAACTGCATAATTATTTCTTTTCCAGTTAACTCAGGGTTATCGTCAATGATAAATTCTTTATTGTTAATCGTATCAGAACTATTTTCTATAACATGTTCGAAGCATGGTTGCAATTTGGATTTCATGTCATGATATTTCCGTTTAAAGTAAGTTTCTGATCGATCTAAGTCTTTCTTTTTGATAGATAAATTAAAAATTTTGGCAACAAAATTAAAACGATCAAGATGTACTTCATTAGGGGTAAAAGTTTCACTGGTTGAGCTGCAATTTTCAGATGTGGAAGTTGATACAAATGATAACTGCAAGGTCTCAGATAAATTAGAAAACATTTTTTCATCCACCAATAGTGGGGTTTCTTCCTGGTCGGGTGTTTTAGATGTTTCAGATGGAGTAAAACCCAAATCTCCAGAGACACTTTCAAATGGTCCACTTTTTTCAACATGCATAGTATATTCGGATGCTTCTACTTTTTTATGTTTTGGCAATTCATTATAAACTTTTTTTGAACACGAAATAACTGTTCAAATAATTTTAAAGTGACTGGTCTTAAATATCTACGGACTTTACTGTCATTCCCAGTGTAATTGATACGATACTGCTTTTCATGTTCACAGCAAATGAAACTAACCACTGCACCACTTCTAGAATTCAGAGCAATACGATCCTCATTAGAAAAATATTCGCAATCAAAAAATGTTTTCTGAGAGCATGTTTCATTCCTGAATAATCCAATCGAACACTTTTTATTTTCCATGACTAATTACGTATTGTAAAAATATTTTCCGAAAATCGAAGATATAAATTATTATACATAAATACACTCATCAGTTATTGTTATGTTTACTTGCAAATCACGAATTAACCATGATTTATGATTTATTATCTATGGAATTAACTAATCTCCAGAAACGCCAATATTATGAAAAATAGAGACCTCTGTGGAGGACTTCTAAAACCATATACAGTGCTTGCAAATCCAAGTCCGACCACACAGGAAAGGACGGCTGTTCAATACCCGCGTGAAAAGAACAAGGATAGAACGCCAAATAGAATTTGATTGGCCAGCCGGCAGGCTACGACAACGCATACCTATCGCGCACCTCGCAGCGTGCTTGACACGAGGATATTAGAACGAGAACTGCAGTGGTGCTAGCAAGAGCCTCTTGCCAAGCGGTAGTAATTTTAGTAAAAAAGATTATTTAATTAAAAAATGTAGGTACACGTTGGAACAAAAAGTTCAGATTTTAATCTGGCATTTTGCTGGTAATTCTGAACGAGAAATTCAAAGATTATTTGCGGGAATGTTCGAGGCCAGACCAAACAGAGAAACAATTCGACGAATCGTTAATAATTGCTTGTTCGAACATTTAATTTAATTTTTCAGTTTATTTATTTTTAGAGTTTTATTAGACCAGGGTCGATAATTTTTGAAACCAAAAAAAATAAAAGTAGGATGAAACCCATTGGAAAAGGAGAAGAATATAATAAAAATAAAAGGAAAAATAAATTACGGGCGATCTGACTTTGGGAAGTGGGAGGGGGGGGTTTTAAGGGTAAAAAATGGTTTATCTCGATTTCCGGTAAAACTACAAGTCCTATGGAAAAAAGTTAAATGGCAAAGTTGTAGGTAATAAAAGGATCTACAACTTTTGTAATTACAATTTTTTTACATAACCTCCAAATTTATGGGAAAAATTCAAAAAACCAAGTTTTTGGTTTTTTATTTTTATCTTTTTCAAAAAAAAAAATTTTTTCCACGAAATTTGGTGAAATCTTACCTTTTTATGTCCCAAATACACTGTAATTTATTTGATTTGAAATATTTATTATTTCGCCTTATTTTGACTTAATATCAAAAAAAAGATAAAAATAAAAAACCAAAAACTTGGTTTTTTGATTTTTTCACATAAATTTTGAGGTTATGTGAAAAAATTGTAAATACAGAAGTTGTAGATCTTTTTATTACCTACAACTTTGCCATTTAACTTTTTTCCATAGGACTTGTAGTTTTGCCGGAAATCGAGATAAACCATTTTTTACCCTTAAAACCCCCCCCTCTCACTTCCCGAACTCAGATCGCCCGTAATTTATTTTTCCTTTAATTTTTATTATATTCCCCTCCTTTTCCAATGGGTTTCATCCTACTGTTATTTTTTTTCTCTTTTTACCATTTTTAAAGGCTTCTGCACTGGTTTTATTTAGAGTTTTATTTTTATTTTTAGTTATTTTTATTTGAGAAATCTTTTTTATTAAGAATACTATTTTTGTTGTTGCCCTAGTTCTCAAGGAAAAAAATCAAAACATTTTATTTTTAGGATTCGGGTATAAAATATTTAAAAAGAAAATTAAAATGTGCATCTCCACCCCAACGCAGTTTGCTTAACACTAAATCATTTAGTCTAAATGCAGCCAGAGACTCTGGCCCAGAGTTGACCTCGCTTACAATTCGCACGCATCCGGGGCTCTGGCCAATCAAATTCTATTTGGCGTTCATCCTTGTTCTTTTCACGCGGGTATTGAACAGCCGTCCTTTCCAGTGCGGTCGGACTTGCATTTGCAAGCACTGTATGGTTATTATCTCGATAAAAAAGATTTAGCAGTAGATACATAGATGGCACTGGTTTTTGATTTGTATGACACTGGTTTTTGATTTTCAAACTTATACCAAAAAATGTCAATAATGGTCTTTTTACGTAACTTTACGTAAAAATAAAAAAAAAAATTTTAATAAAAAAAACTTAATGTCGAGCGTCATTTTTGACGATTTTGAAAAATAAAAAATTTTACAAATTTTTCCCCTTTAAAACAAATAAAAGTTTGATTTTGTATATATAACAGTTTTCGAATAAATATTATTTAAAATATAAAGTTGTAAAATTTAAAAAAATAGTAAATTTTTAATTTTGCATAAATATTCAAAGAATTTTGTTTAATTTTTATCCTTTGGATGAACTTCGTTGTATGATAAACTATAACTTTTGACCAAAATTCATCCAGATCGAAAGGGGTCGACCAGCTATTGGTCGATTTGACATGAAATGACCCTATTATGAATACTTTTACACAATGATAAAATATAAATTAGCATTTTGTTCTTTCTTTCATACATGCATATTTCAATGTTTATATTTTTTATTGTTTTGAAAGCTTAAGTAATTTTTAGTCGTGCAAGCCACAAAAAAAATCACCGCCGCTTGAAGGTAAGGTTCATCTCCAATCACAGATACATCCTATTTAAAATAAAAATTGTTTAGTCAGAAAACAGTAGGTATAGAAACCCCAGGAGGACAGACATTGAGCTATATAAAATTACATTGTTTGAGGGCCTGATGTTTTGAATAGGACTGTTCTTGTCATGCAGAACGTTATTAGGGCATCGTATAAACACTGTTTATTAAACAGTCTTGTTCAATTACATTAACTTTCACTAAGTAAAAAACAGCTTGGTGGTTCAAAGGATTTGCTAAGATGAAAAATTAACTGGAAAAGCTTGAAAAAAACAAACACTGGAAAGGCTGTGTAATAGGCATATAAAAAAAAGGAATACAAATAACGCACCCTTTGCATTCAAATCAGCACGCATATCTTCCGGGAAGATATACCATTCGGTGGTGCGTAGAATTAAGAGATCAATATGTCCACCCTGAGGGTATTTATAGACATAGAAAGAGCCTCCTTTAAATCCATAAAAGCAGCTCTGAGGAAGAACGGTGTTCGCTTTGCACATGGATTGGGCACATGCTACGATGCAGAATGCGAATGGAATTAAAGTAATTTCGCCCCTACTATGAAATTTAGTTGATAATCTTCTAGAATCACTTAACAAGGCTTTTATGCTAACGAGTAAAATTGAGAGTACCCTTTGCGATCTAATGCGAACAGATCCA